TTTCGCAACCGAAAAAAATTTGTTAAGTATAATTAAACAAAACAAAATTAAACTGCCATCTACATTCCATGGCTTCCCACATTATAGATGAAGTGCGATACACATAATGTGGGAACATTGTATGTGAACAGATTAAAATATAGACTACGTTAAACAATTGATATTTTCAAAAATCATAGTGTTTACTACTCCATGCGGACTTGATAAATCTACACTGTAAGCAAATAAAACCACTATTTGATGTCAAAATAGCAATTAATCGATTTTAAATATGTATTAATAAGTTAAACAATCATTTATCTTTCTGACAATGTGCTTTTTATATAATTTATATGTTCAATATGATTGTTAGATACGATTTTATGCGACAAAAAATTAGAATCATGTTTTTAGACGCTAGAAGAACATATCTACACGCTTTGCGCTTAAGGCTTGCAAAAGTTTTCGCCATGCCTAAAATACTCAGACCCGCTGGTCTGAATATTGGCAGGTCTGTCGCTACAGGCAGCAGCGTCACAGAGGCAACGCGAGTCGTTTAGTACTGCGATCGCCAATCTATTTTCTATTATTCTATTACTATTTTATTATTTTATTACTATATAATAAAACTATAACACGACGTCTGTCTGAACACGCATCACACAAAAACCTGTGAAGCGATTGGATGGGACTTTCACTGGCAGATAGCTGATGTTATAAGGAGTAGCTTAGGCTACTTTTATTGTAGAAAAATAATTGGGGTACCGCGCAAAAAAAATTAAAACCCATGAAGTCCAATCTCAATAAATTCGCGGAGAATTTTGTTAGAAAGTTAGAAATAAATTAATCAATTTTTTACAAACTTATTAAAGCTGACAAATAAATCTTTTTCCTTAAAATTCTATTTTTACAAACTGATAAATCATTGTTTGCGCCTAAAACATAAATAAATATGCTATATACGTAAAAAATTGATAACTACATCTATATACGCTTACATGGATTTAAAAAAACGAATACGTTGAAATATTAAAAAAAACGATGGTTTCGGAACTAAGACTGAAGACAATTAACGTTGTTTAATTTAATAACATCGTATATCAAACAAGGTATAACCGAAGGAAAATTAGTTCAAGGTGTATACTAGTAAGTTAATTACAAACCATGGCTTGTATCGCAAAATGTGTATCGATTTTGCGTTAGTCAAGCATTATAATAAGAAAACATGTTATTTTCAATCTTAATATTCTCCTAACTGAGATGTATGATTAAAAACTTAGCCTATGTTTAAATCGCGCATTTATCATAAGTGCGTAGTAGGATTCTTGATAATTTTTGCAGCATTTATTGGTACGTAACGGAGAAAAAGAATCAAAATGTAGATGCGTTGTTATCCCTGAGGACCAAGATAGCATGCCTCGTTCCCAGTTAAAACCGGCCAAGTGCGAGTCGGACTCGCGCATGGAGGGTTCCTTACCATCACACACATTTCTAGTAGGGGATTCCCCTATAATTGATAATTTATTTTTATTTTTATTAGGTATTTCTTGTTATAGCAGCAACTGTTACGGATCATGAGATACAGCCCGATGATAGACAGACTGACGAACAGCGGAGGCTTAATAATAGGGTCCCGTTGGTTACCCTTGGAGTACGGAACCCTAAAAAGGGTATGCAAAGTACTCTACACTTACCATACAAAACAACAGAATTAAGTTCAAATTTAAATTATTTTCTTTTAATAGGTTTTTAAATAGATACAAATATTTTGTTCTTGGTATTAATGTGTTAGATAACCTATTAAGCTATTTTCAACAGCATGAAAATACATTTACAAAAGTTGTTTACGCTGGTATTCTGTGAGAATGAGGTCCCTCCCCCGGTAAAGCAGACATATTGTTGCTAGAGCCATAATAAAGCTGCAGCGTGACTCTACCACGTATGAATATGTATTAAATATACTTTCTTATATATCTAACACATCTACATTTTTGTAGAAGACAAAATGTAGATATACCTACCTATGGGGCACTGCATCCACCTATCATCAGGTGGACTGTGTCGTCGTTTGTCATCCTTGTTCCTTAAAAATCAGCTACTGTAAAGATTCTCTTTACGGGTTTTAAAAAACGCATTAAAGTTAAAAAGAATGGTATGCCATTGTATATTATAGTAATTATATTAAAATTACTAATATTGAATATTACGAACATCTAAAAAAATTTTTCAAGTAATGCTTCTCAGATGGCGCATTTTTGAAAAGCCACGTTCTTTTGTGTATAGCTTTATCTTACATAGATACGGAGAAAGTGAAGATAAGTCATTCTTACTGTTAATTTGTTAATAGTTAAAACTAATAACAAAATATATCTTGATCTGATAATTTTAAATAGTAGTGATCGAATCGCCATTATCGAAGGAAAATGGATAAGGAGGTCATTTATAAAAGAAGTTTGTGTTTTTTTTATGCCCATATACAATGAGACAAAGATCTATGTGGGAGGCATATGTTTCAGCAGTTGACTTATTTAGGCTGTAGAATGTTGTAACGCTTTTAAGACTTCGTTCAGGACACATCCTGTCAAATAAGTTCCGATATCTGATGGGAATATCAGATTCCCCTAACTGCTCAGAGTGTGATATTGTAGAAGATGTGCACCATGTTTTGACGGAGTGTGTTCGGAACGAGGTACATAGGCAAGATATGTCACTTTTGCATAATCACAATGTAGGCATTTGCAATTCTATTCTATCCTCCCCACTTTGTCAAGAGGCCAAAATGCTAAACAAACTCTATTTATATGTAGTATAATATGAGATTAGAAAGATGTAATATTATCCACCTCTGAGTGTAACCATATCACCGGATTGAATTGCAACATAATATATATTTTTGTCGTTAAATTTAACTTGATTGTATGTAGTTGTATTACTGTCGATATTATTGTGTCTTCAATCGTTAATTTCCTGTCATTATTTTGTATACTTTACGGGGGTGACATAGTCACTGTGTGACAAAATCCCTTTTTTGAAAATAAAGATTAAAAAAAAATTAGGAAAAATAATAATTCCATCAGCTTAAGACATGAATTGTTTAACAATTTGTGTCTCAAATGCATGTTTCAAAGGTACTATATAATATTCTTCAGTAACAGGTTTATAGACAAAGCTTAGCTCAAATAGCACTTGAGTATACCAGTTTATACAATGCTATTAAAAGAAAGTTTGTTAGCGACTGTTTGTATCAATCAAACACCTTTGGACACATTGAAACCTCTTTAAAACTTATTTAAAGTATATGCCACCTAAAATTAGTAATTATTTCAAACTTCAAAATTTCAACAGTCTCATTTTCCCTTAAGGGAATATAATTCTAGATCCAATAGACAGGAAAATGGGAACGGAAATTGCCTGGCAATATTATCAACTGAATTCAAGCCTTGATAATATTAACTTTTAATAATTAAATTCGTCAAACTCATATTTTAACGAATGATTAGTGGTTGTTAAATATTTAACATTGTAAAATATTGGCAATATTATATAATTATTATAATATTTATATAATATTGCCCATAATAATATAAATAAAATAATTATACACCAGCTTATAAATGGAGTTGACAAATGTCTAATGCGAAATGGCTGGACATCGGCTTTTCTCGTTGTAGGATGGATTTGCCGTATTCGTCACCTTTGGAAGGCGAATTGAAGGTGTTAGTACCTACCAGATGATCCACGCCTTTGTGTCCATTTGCGGTCTGATTTTTTTGAAGTGAATCTTGAATCTTGATTCTGAATCTGAATTGCTGAATCTTTTCTATCGACGTAATGGAATTTAGTACGTTATTAAAAATAAAACGTCATGTCTTCTTGTAACGTTTCACCGCCGGGGCTGCACGAGTATACTATTATTTAACTTAGTTATCTATCTTCTTCTAATATATGAAAATTAATTTTAGTTTGTTCGTATTTAATGCCGTTCATCAGATTGCAGGTGATGAGCGTATTGTAGCGATAAATTTATTTGAAAGTCAAATGTCATTCAATTTCAATGAATGTATTACCAACGAACAATATAACATTTCCAAATTTGAAACGATATTTCCATAATTTATATCTTCTCCGGCAGCAAAGCGCCAGGTACCAGCTAGTGTAAAATATATAAGAAGAATGATGAGACGTAAAAAAGTTTCACTTCGTACGTGTGTACATAATTACACATATAATTTTTTTGACAAGACTGAAGTGATAAACCAACTTACAGTTCAACTGATGGAAAGTGTGCAGTAGCCACTTTACACTCAGTAGCTACGAAGACGGGCGACAGAAACAGAGTCCTACGTTTGTGTGGTTTTAACCAAATGAATATCACCATCTTTCGGAAGATATGATGAATTGTGGTGTTGGATTTTAATACACCACAAGTACGCTGCCATACGAGGCTAGATCATGATGATAATAATTTAAAATTAAAAATTTTGTACAGCCGACTTCAATATAAGTTATTAAGAATAACCCAAAAACGATTGGTCTGATCTTGATCAAATTTATATGGAAGCATACGAGAAGTACCAGCTTTCAAACAAAAAAAAAGAATCATCGAAATCGGTTCACCCAGTAAAAAGTTATGAGGTAACACACATAAAAATAAACAAAAAAATACAGTCGAATTGAAAACCGTCTCCTTTTCGGAAGTCGGCAGAAAACTCTTGTTAAAGCCCGACAATGAGTGACATAAAAAAATTAAAATAAGAAATCCAATAATTAAAAAAAAAGTGATACATGATCTTTTACATTTGAAGGTATTATAAGGAAATTCCTGTTGACAATATCTCAAGTCTCATAAAAACACATAAGTACTCTTTTTTTTTTTAAATGAATAGTTCTAGTAGGAAATTATGAGGACATAAAGAAAAGGTATGGATCCAATAAATATCAATCAGTTGCTCTCTAGACGTCACGTGGATAGCGTTAGTGAGTGAAGCCGTCGCACGCGCAGACTGACATCGCTTTACGCAATGATTTCAATGTATTTTATCTTAGTATCTCTCGTGATAGTATGCTTATTGGTTAAAAGTGTAATTAAACCACGAAAATATCCTCCAGGTATGTATTAAGCTTAATGTTTTAGAAGACGCTTGTATCTGAAATGAGTTAGGGCCGATTTTTTCATCTTCAGAAAAAATTATTCATAAGATTAAATACAACAAAAACAAATTAAAAATTACAATTATACGAATAAAATAGTTCAATTGTCCCAATTTTATCTTCAGTCAGGTTATAATTTCTTTGATGGATACTTTGATGGACTTTTATCTGACGATTGAAAAACCAGCCCTAAATCAAAAATTATTGTCATAACTATTTAGGTTTGATTAGAAATTAAACAGATATACGCATGTCTAAAGAATGTTTGTAACAATAAGTTATGTTTTCGAAATTACCTTTATATTTATATCTATTGTTACGAACCACATGACAAATCTATCGCTGAGTACTAGTTGTCACGTTATATTTAGAACAACAATGCCATTGGGATTTATTCTATGAATACGTCAAATGCTCTTAAGCACTTTTGTGCTTTAGTGTGATGATTGATCTTTTCCGTTTTATATAAATTGTTATATTATGTTAGGTAAAAATAACAATTAATATAATAAATTACTTAATCGTAGCGCTTTTAAATATGGTTTAACACATATCCCATATTTAGGTAGATCACTACATAGTATATAATATCAGAGTATCACTGATCAACTATTAAAGTAGTGATTTTATAAATCTAAACTTAATTAAATTTGATTTTAGTTAATTAGTGAAATTAATAAATTCTCCAAGTTAAGGCGGGTCGTTATTATAATATTTTGTGATTTCATCATAAAATTACAATTTATGATTTTAGAATTATAGAGTACATTCATGAAACTCATCCCTATAATTCAATCAAAACTACGAGTATATTATATTTGTTTTATCAACTTTGTAAATTGTTGTCTGACAAAGTTGTGTTTAAATTTAAGACAAGTAAAAATTTTAAGTGATTTCTTTGTGTATTTATTTTACGGCATTCTTTTGAAAAACTTAAACTCTCCGATCACACTCTTAATCTCATGGCTGTTAGACAGGATATGAAGCTGCAGTCTCCAACAGATTTGACAGCATACAGGCACCTGAAGAGACAGATCTCCAAATGCATGCGGGAGACTTACGCAACTTCAATACTCTTTGTATTGAAGAAGCTACCGAGCGGAACCAAGGTTCCAAAGTCTTTGCCAGAGATTTGTCTGCCAGAAAGACCCAACTGTCAAAGCCTAAGACCGAGGGTGGCAGCGTCGTTTCCGGGACACCTGAGATTTTGAGTGAGATTGAAAGGTTCTAGGTATCACGGGCGTCCAGACTGAGCGAGATTAGAATGGCTCTCCAGCACCTTAAAAACGGCAAGGCCCCAAGTGAGGATGGAATTACAGCGGAGCTTCTGAAAGCGAGTGGAAAATCGGTAGTTGAAGTCCTTCAGAAGCTCTTTAATTCCGTCCTCCATGGTGGCACTACTCCGGAGGCCTGGAGCAGAAGTGCGGTGGTCTTGTTCTTCAAGAAAGGCGACAATGCTCTCTTGAAGAACTACAGACCGATTTCCCTTCTGAGCCACGTTTACGTGCTGTTTCGAGAGTCATTACGAATCGTCTCGCACTCAGACTCTACGACTTCCAGCCTCCCGAACAAGCTTTTAGTAAAAGAACAAGGTTTTAGTATGGTACTAACTACTAGTAGACCACATACACACCCTTCGGCAAATTGTACAGAAGACAGAAGAGTACCACTTTGCCTTGCTTATGTGGACTGTGAGAAAGCCTTTGATTCCGTCAAAATTTGGGCGGTGTTACAGTCCCTTCAGCGGTGCCAAGTTGACTGTCGGTATATAGAAGTGCCGAAGTGTTTGTACAGTACAGCTACGATGGCTATCCGAATACAGAATCAGAGTACGAAACGTATCCAACTGCAGAGAGGTGTAAGACAGGCTGATGTTATATCCCCGAAACTCTTCAACGCTGCATTGGAAGACGTTTTCAAGCTACTGGACTGGAAAGGATACGGTATTAACATCAATAGCGAGTACATCACTCACCTTTGATTTGCCGACGATATAGTCCTTATAGATATTAATATAATAGATTTTTATACGGAATGTGATAAAGAAAAATATAAAGTAAATATTAATAAGTTCAACAATCATTTATATTTCTGACAATGTTCTTTTTATATTATTTATATGTATAATATGATTGTTACATACGATTTCATGCGACAAAACGTTGGAATCTTAATTTTTAGGTCGCTGGAATGTGAAATGGAACGCTGATAAGTTTGCTTCAACGAAACCTTAATATTAATATTCGCGACTTTCGTTATATTTTTATTTTTTTTATAGGAGAGGTGGTAAACGAGCATGCGGCTCACCTGATGGTAAGTGACTACCGCCGCCCATGAACAACTGCAACACCAGGGGAATTGCTGATGTGTTGCCGGCTGTTTAAAAAGGAGTAGGCTCTTTTCTTGAAGGTCCCCAAGTCGTATCGGTCCGGAAAAATCGAGTTTTATCACGATGTGCAAACAATTCCTCAGAGCACTCCCCGTGATAGAATCGATAAAATACGCAAAGAGATGCAAAATCTCTACGCAGTGCCAGTAAGTTAAGCCCATCGGAAAAAACTCTGTCGTTGATGATTTAAATTGCTCTTCGCTGGATGTAGTCAAGTGGAAGGAGCTGGCACTGGGGAGCCCGTGACCAAAGACGGGGACAATATTCCATTTGGGGCCGAACCTACGGCTTGTAAAGTTGCAAGCGGTGTGCCGGCATGAAATACTGTCCCGCTCTGCTGAGCACGTCAAGCCTTTTAGTCTCTTCCAAGTGACCATGAAACTGCACATCATTCGATATGTCGACGCCGAGGATTGCGATACTGGCTGAGACAACAAGGGGAGTGTCTTGAAACTGAGAAGATACGAAAAAGGGGTTCTTTTAAGCGGCAATCGTGCAAACCTGTGTCTTCCGAGGATTAAACTGGACTAGACTTAGTCGCCCCAATTCGAGACTTTGTTCAGCAAAGACTCGACTTCAGACACAAGTTTGTCCCGGTACTCGGCGACGTTTTCACGAGAAATATTGGCACGGCCGGTGTATAAGGCATCACCAGTGCTGTTGTCTGCATAGCAATGAATGTTACCAGGTTGCAACATATCATAACAATGCTATGCCACAAGGCTGCGTGCTATCACCAATGCTAAAGAAACAGCATTGGTGATAGCACGCAGCCTTGTGGAACACCAGCCTTAATAGACTTGTAATCGAAGCATGCACCGTCTACTACGATGAAAAATTAAGTTAAATACAATAAAAATTTATATATACTTATTTTTGAAATGGTGCTTTAAGTTTTCTTATTAACCCACAAGATTATTGATAAAAATATTTATTTAGTTTCCCATTTTTACTCCTTGTACCTGATCACCCCAAATAACTTAAGTGAGAATTCAAAATTTCAAACTTTATGGTCGTATTTGTGTAACCGCATATTATAACTATTGCAAATTTTCTTTAATTTAAGCAAAATGGTGTCTGAGAAGACCTTTTGTGATAGACAAACACTTTAAACGAAAACGGGGTGATCCTTAAAGTGCTCCGTTTTGCGTATTTTGGCACTGAACCGTAATGAATGATGTTGCGTGGGTAAAGCGAAGTCAATGCGATCATAGCTGCGGCTAAATACTGATTTAAAAGTTTTGATACAGATTGTATATTCTCAGTTTAGACTACTAATATTTCCAAATAATAATTTGATTAATATATTGTTTATACCGTCTAGTGACAGTGTAAGAATTTCCATTAACCAATATCGTTCCGCAGGTGTCGAAAGAGGACGGAAGAGGCCTATGTTCAGCAGTGGACTTTTATAGGCTGTAATTGGATGGATTGACACGTAGAGTTTCTTCAAAAAATGAATGAAATAAATTAATTCTACGTTGATATAATATTTTGAAAGCATGTGTTAATGAAATTTATAAAATGATGTTTTAACTAAGTTTCTTATTTTGTAACAAATCCAATTTAAAACATATTACATGGAAGGCTTAACAGTTTAATTAACTATCATAATAAGGCAAATATTATCACTTTATCATGCTACACAGTAATTTACGGAGCGGTGGCTCCGTAAATTACTGTGTAGCATTATTAAACGCCGCTTAATAGCCGGTATAGGTTTAATTCAAGGCCACATTGAAAGCTTTCTGTGCACTGCGTGGGTGGGACGCGTGAAAGTTTGTTGCAGAAAATCTCTATCCAAAGATAATTAATGACAATAACAGTACATTTTTTTTACAAATAAAATACCCGACGTGTGCTACTATGCTAAAAAAAAGTAATACATTTTGTTTATTTTACAGTTTTAGTGATTTAAAACCATCTTCACGTTATTGCCTTTCTATGTTGGGTTTGGGACACATCGGTTGAATGGTTACAAATTCTATAACGGATATAGGAAGAAACATTTTTTGTGTTTTATAGATTAGATAGTCTATAGATAGATTAGATTCACTAGCTAAAAAAAAAACGATTTGACGGCTCTATGACTTAGCAATTAGTTACGGCGCCGAGGGCAGCGGGTTCGAATCCCACACGGAACAAGTATTTGTGTGGCCTACAATAATAGAACAATTATTGTTCTGGGTCTGGATGTTTGTTCTGTAACGAGGCTTCTGTTTTATTCTTTATGTAGATGTCTTTTAACCACATCACTCAATTAGTATCAGGTGGTCTGTGTGCTCATTTGTCACCCATAAACTATACAATAATTACAAATTTCAATAAATTTTACTAGTTTAACACATTCCTATAAGACGACATTGTAGGACTTCTCAACTTTTTTAACCTCTGGTAATCTACTGAAATGTAATTATTGCGTAAAGACGAAATAATTTTACACAGAATGAATATATACATAAGTGTTGCGTAGTGTATATTTTCTTTGGTTGTGTGAATTCAGAAACGCCAATCATAATAATTTGCTCGATAAAAAATCATAAAGATGACACTTAATCTCTATTTAAACGTGTACCTTGCAGAGATTTCATAATGAACACGTGCAAAAGCAGCATTATTTGGGTCACGTTGAGAACACATTTATAAAGTCTTCTTTATTTTTATGCTAACTGCCAGACCCGGTCGTCAATCAGCACAAAAATATAAGTAGTTTTAATAAATGATATTCATTCTATTAAAGTTGTTAGAACTTAATTTGCTTATATCCGCGTAGGTAATGAACTAAAATGATTTGTCTTACCGAGTTTTTATGAGTACCTCCCGCCTCGTCACTACTAACACCACTACATTAGGAAAGACACACCACCTTCGATAATACGACACGTATTTCGCTGTTTAAGCTTTAATATAACAGATTTCTGCAAAGTAACGCCTGATTCTATTAATTATGATATTAATTCTGTTAAAAGTAGGAACAGATACAGCTAGTAGTACCAGTTACTCGACTCCATACCAAGTCAGTAATTCATTCTTGGAGCAATGTATAATGCGTATACACAACAAATTCCCAGAAAATGTGCAAAATTTGTCCACTGTCAAGTTAGAATTTTTTTTATTAAATAAATATTGTTTAAAAAGTGTTAATATAATATAAAGGTATTTTGCGAACCAGTGGTAAATAAAACATAACAATGACTTTTAAAAGAAAAATTCTATTTCTATTGTGAAATGAGCGTAATAACGTAAAATGAATGTAGAATGTAGTAAATGACTGTAAAAGAACAAATCATGCGATAAACAATCTAGCAATTGTATGCAAGCTAGTCAAGCGTGGTCACTTTACTTGTAGCAAATGAGGCGAATGACTACGAGGCGATGCCTGACCCCCTATGGGGGTGACATAAGTTCAATCTTGATAGGCTGTAATGACGATGATAAGTAGATGAGTAGAATAAGATGTAATGGAGCATCCAATAAGAAGTATTACATACGAATCCAATAACATCGTAGGTAACTCAAAAAGGGTTTACAGGAGAGCGACAAAACGATTTTATTGTAATTTTGGCATTTTTTATAATTATTTAATGGTGTTTGATATTTAATAGCAGCATTTTTTTTTTATTTATTTATAGGATCGGGTGACAAACGAGCACACAGTCCACCTGATGGTAAGTGGTTACTGTGACCCATAGACATCTACATCTATCCTCAATAAAGACTCAAGATGCACATGCGTTGTCGCCAGTGAGGACTAAGATGGAATGCCTCTTTGCCAGTAAAAAGGGTCTCCGGTTCTCTACACTCACCATACGAAACACAGCAGCGTTAAGCTGCTATTTTACGCTGGTTTTCTGTGAGAGCGTGGTCCTTCCCCGTTCGAGCCGACCCATTCGTGCTACAACCATAATATAGCTGCAGCATGGCTCTACCACGTAAAAAAATTATTATATTATATAAAAAAGTTTAATTATTATTTCCCTATTTGATATATTTTTAATTTATTATCGAGTTACGAACTCCAGATTTGTCAAATTTTCAAGGAAATAACATTGTAAATGCACCTACATTTTATTTTTGTCGACCCTAAATTAACGTAACTAGATATAAGTAGCTCTTTGCTTGGATTCCAACTGCGAAAAAATGTTGTATATAAATATATGCTTGCAAAACGAAACGAATACTTTAAATAAAATAATATTGTAGTGAAACTTAAGTTTTAAGCTTTTATGTTAAATAAACTTCATACATATTTTATATGAAAAATACTATTAGATAATACTTTATTTATCTACTATTATTTCAGAAACGATTCAGTGTATTTTAGTGAAAAAACACGCACTTGGATTAATATCTCATAAAATAACTTTTTTTTTAATAATAACAATATAAAAATATATTTTGACGCGTCTTTTTTACTGATCAAGTAGTTATAAAATCGCTAATTAGGGTATTCTGACTTACGTAGTTCTTGGATTCGTGTGTCGAATATCTCAAAACATGAAAACAAGAGTGTACAACCAGTGCGTGTTGCCAGTGATGACAATGATCTGGGACGTGGTCCACTGCTGGCCGTAGGGGAAAGGTCAAGGTCGCTACGCGAGCTATAGTGGGGCTTTGCTCAGAGTTTCTTGGCGTGTTAGACTTTGTAATAAGGATATCCGCAGTAGAAACGTAGTAACCAACATAGCCCAACGGACCAGTTAGTCAAAGTGCCACACAGCTCGAAGATATGACAACTGAGCTTACTGAACTTTACTCTACTCCTAAGCATGGGTGCTCAGGCTGCCCCGCGTATTCTGGGGAGGGGGGGGGGGGAATTACGCTCGCGACTAATACTACTCGGACAGCAATAAGACCAAGGTGACCCCTGTCTTGCTAGTCACATGGTCTTACACAGCTGGTTAATTGGCCTACGCGGATTCTAGACGTGGAGGATCATGCACGTTCCCTGTTGGACAGTCTGTTACCTCTCATCCGGATGGATATCAGGTTTCCGTCGACGCTCCTTTAGGCTAGTCGGACCATTGTCTTGTCCGGAGTGTGGTGCCACTCACACTAACGTTGTGGGTGCATTCTGCAGACTGCCACCGAGTTTGGCACTATATGTCAGCCGACTAGGATAGGATGCAGTCTTTTTATGCATCCTACCTTTGAAGATTCCAGCGTTGTTGATGATTCTGTTGCTGATGTGGTACTTCAGGGTATGGAACTTTTTATTCCATCCTCTGTGGTGCCAATCGGTGGTAGATCCCAGCCATGGTTTGGTCGATCCTGTAAAATAGCATCAAGCTATAAGCAGGAGTGCTACCAGGCCTGGGGTGACGCATCAACGTCTCGAGATAAACACACCAGCGCTCTTAAAAAGAAGTATAATTCCACCTTCAGGTCCTTGAAAAGAGTCATTGCCAGGGCAATGTCTGAGCACACAGGCAGAATTCGCGAGAAGCTAGTTCACCTCTCTTCGGGAATCCGCGCATTCTGGTCTCTCACCAAGGCTGTCCAAGGGAAATTCTGTCAGCTATCTCTTCCATCTCTGCACAAAGAGACGAAAACAAAAGAAACTCAACGGCCCAAGCCGCAAAGAAATGGAGAAAGTCGATCTGTTAGGCATAGTCGATGGCTGTTCATCCGATCCTACTAACGCCGGTGTTCCTCAGGGGTCCTTTCTCTCCGCAACTCTCTTCCTGCTGCATATTAATGATCTGCTTATGCTTGGTATTTATGGGTATGCAAACGATAGCACAGTTGTTGAGAGATACCAACCAAGTCCTCGGGCCAGTCAGGATCAAATCCAGTCCGAAAGAGAAGCTATGGTAGAGCGTGTGAATCTCACACTACAGGCAGTCTCTGAATGGGGCGATGCCAATCTTGTGAAGTTCAACGCCTCCAAAACACAAGCGTGTCTCTTCACTGCGAAATGGAGCCAGCTCACATTGGCTCCTTCTTTCCGAAATGTATCACTGAAATATATCGACTGCCTTTAATTGTTAGGGCTTGAAATATCCTCAAATTTGAACTTCGGGCGGTTCATTGAGTCCAAGGCCAAAACAGCTGCAAGGAAGCTGGGAGTCCTTGCAAAGGTGCGGTGATACTTCACGCTGGGACAGCTGCTTACTTTATATAAAGCGCAAGTCCGGTCGTGCATAGAGTATTGCTGCCATATATGCTGGTGCTGCAAAATGTCACCAGGCAGCTTTGGACTCAATCAAAAGGCATGCTAAGAGGCTTATTGGTGACCCGAAAAAGTAGTCAGCCTTTCGGTTTTCTACAGAATGCATTTCGGAGAGTGTGCGCAGGAATTGCATAATTCCATTCCACCCTCTCCCTTCCACCATCGGACAACCAGACGTTCGGCCAGTCTCCACCCTTTCGTTGTTGACTTACCACGCATTCGAACCAAACGGTTCGACACGTCGTTCATCATGCGTACGGAAAAGGAGTGGAGTTAGTTACCAGCTGTCTTTCCATCCGATTACAGTGTGGGTGTCTTCAAGGCAAGAGTGAATAGGCTTTTGTTAAGTCAGTGTGCTTCACCATCTTAGGCTACATCACCACTTACCATCAGGTGGGATCGTAAAAGAAGTAACTTATATTTTACGATGTATTCTAAACGCTTTAATACATTTTAATACATATTTTTCAAAATATGTTTTCTTTTTAGCAACTTGAATTAATTTATTTTTCATTAGAAAATCAAATTAATAACTGGACAGACAGTGTTAAAATAGAATTTGGAGGAAATTTATTTAAAAGAACAAAATTACTTACAACGAAACTACCGACTTTTTTCAGGTCCTAAATGGTATCCATTTATGGGTTGCAGCAGTATAGTGGATAAATTGACCAAAAAACACGGATCGCAGTGGAAAGGTCTTTCGACTTTAGCGAAAGAATTTTCTACAGATGTTTTAGGTTTGAAATTGGGAAGGGAACTAATTGTTGTGGTATACGGAGAAAAAAATATACGCCATGTTTTCACAGAGAAGCAGTTTGAAGGAAGACCAGATAATTTTTTTGTTCGAATGCGATGCCTTGGAAAACGAATGGGTAAGAAAACTTTCTCATCTGTTGAATGCAACTTGTTACGGCCTACAGCTGACCCTGCAAAGGTCGTCTTGGCTGGGGCCCATAGCAGCTTCCTCGACGGGCAGACGTAGGTCGGGCCCAATGGCCATATGGAAGAATTTGCTATAATACTAAGCTATATGGGAGAAGGCTAGGGAAATATAGTACGTACCTGTTTCCAACTCTTAGATCGCCCCAAGGCTCGGTGAGGCCGTAAGTGGGTGTGAGGTGCATGGCAAGTAGTGTTTAGTGATGTGTAAATGTCTGAGACCTGGACCAGCTTAGGCGACCAGCAGCGGCCGAGTTCCAGGCTGCCCCACAATGCTGCGTCGCTCCAGCAGGCTCCACCGCTGGACCATTTCTTTCCTCATTGTCTCTATTTCAGTCTATTAGCTTCATTGTACATTTAACTAACTTAAACTCGCCTAATTCCACATTCATCGTAGAATCGAACACGTGATACCCGACACAGTAAGGACAGTAGTTCAAAATTCGACATTTAATTTCCTGGATTCACTTATCACAAAATTATAAATAGGGAACTAACGCGATCTCTTAGTGAGTTATACGGTTCAGCGTTAAACACAACTAAGTTCCTTCATTCGACACCAAAACACCACGTCGCAAAAATAATTCAAAATACGCCTCGTTGACACGTAGACTAACAAACCAACCAACACAAAAAAGGGCACTTAACGCGACGGCACAATTATAATGATTTCCAAACAATCAACCGAGAGAAGCTCTCGACCAAGGAATGCGCGGTTCGAATCCTAGACCGTATATCTACTCGACGCGCGCGTGCACAATTCCGCATCACCCGAACAAGTTAAATATTGCAAAATTCACATATCCACGTAGCGAAGTAATACGCACTAAATCTATCTATCTGGACCCTACGCGGTCGCGTGAACTTCGGCCGCGATAATCGAGATACGCAGAGTCACCGCATCGCGGCCAGCGAGCTACTGCTTCTACGCCCACGTGTCGAGCCACACAAGCCGCACACGGCCGCCCCACCTGGCGGCGTTTTTTTCACCTACATACCATCGGGTGACGCGCCAGCTCGAACGCAACTGGATGGCGTTCACACAACGACACAACTAATAGGAACTTAATACAGTTTTGGTTTTAATTTTTTAAGGATAATTTATGGTTGAGTTAGTTAAGTAAGAGTAGTATAAATTTATATCAGATAAATAAATAATAGCGCGACGAACAATTCCTTGCCCTAAAGCCCTTTCAGAAGATGAGTTTTTTGTGGTACTTACGAGATTTTTGGAAAACTTGTGAAGAGAGAAACATTGAGCTTCGTGCGTCCATTAAAAATCTGCATGTGTTACCAGATCGTCACTCTATTACTGGGGGACCGTCCTACAAATCGCTTTTTGGTATGATGTTCTCACCCACAAAACCTTTCTTTCTCTCTTACTTCTTTTATACGACCGTTTTAAAGATGTCCCTAGCCTTATGGTTCATTTGTCTAAATTTCCATATTTTGTCAATTTCAATTAATACTTATGCCGAAGTTCTGCATCTAGGGATAACATTTGCTGATGGACCATTGTGGAGAGAACACAGACAATTTACAGTGAAACAGTTAAGAAATGTTGGATTTGGAAAAACAAAAATGGAGAAAGAGATTCAGGATGAGATGTTACACATAGTAAAATATATAGAAATGAATTGTGGCAAACCTATCAATACTATGAGTACGTTAGCAATGTCGGTTATGAATATCTTATGGACTTATATTGCAGGTAAAATTATTTATGTACCTACTGATATATTTTTTACTCTTAAGTTTCACAAAGAGCAATGACTGTATTCATAACGAATTTGTATGTTTTATACCGCTAACCCGTGTCAGCTTCACCTGCAAGGGCTCTATGTATATAATGTAGCGTCATTTCGATTTTTTAAATTAATCATCAATGACCGATTATCATCATACATGATAATTTTGAAAAAAAAAATTAAAATCTCCAAGATAAAATGTAGCTTGCTAAGATCAATCCTGGCATTGCTCTTTATTTGTTCGTAAAGTTTCCCGTTCCCGTTATAGATAGGACAACAGAGAGACAAAAATTTTACAAATAGTTAAATATGTCTTAATGACATGCATTTAAACTCCTGCGCTCGATAAAAGGCAATTATTTGTACTCGTTTATATTTATGTATGTATAGATACAGATGAATATAATTTTAAATATAATATTAAAGTTATTCGTACCCTGAGTTTTTACTTAAAAATTGCAAGATAAAACTTTGAAGAACTTTTAATCTTCTATATTATTATCGATTTTTATAAAGTCCAAGTCATATTTTTGGGTCCATTCACATCTTAATTATTTGAAAACAATACTCTATAATACTCGTATGTTCGATTAAATGAAACACGAGGTGATTTTAGCAACTCGATTATAATAATAGCGATCGCTTCGTGGAATAGTCTCATTGTTAAGTTGTTGGTAGATACATGAACAGATTAATATTTAGCATATCTACAGTGCTAGAACGGGACGCCGTGAGTTGAGCATTGTATAACTGTTGAGTTCTAAGTATATTGCTAAAAATATTATTCAATATTAATTCCCATATTCGCGTGAGCACACGGCGCACTAAAATGTCTCTCTCTCTCTATCTCTCTCTCTCTCTCTCTCTCTCTCTTTCTCCGTGCGTGTAAAAAGCGTACGCAAACGCGTATGTGCGTTCATGTGTGCGTGCGCGTGTGTTTATACTTAATCAAGCTTTTAAATATAGTTTCTGCAGTTTTTATAAATAAAATAATATATTATGCGAAACAAAAAAATCATGTGTGCAGTTCACGCGCAGTAGAAGTGAAACCTTCAAATGAAATGAAATATAAAACAAAAACACTTTGCAAATGATTTATTTAATTTGATAATTTTCAACTACAAATGCGGCATAAAATATAAGATAAAATTTTGATTTTATAGCAAATAAATGTTACAATCCTTATTTTCAGACATGTAGAGCCTAAATTTCAGTGTATTAAATCAAAAGATCATTTTCTTTCGACTAAAATTGCTTTGTAATAGAAACGTCTATTTCTTTCTGTTGATTGATTCTCAAGGTGGTCCGTAAAATAGACACCAGATGACCTCAACACGACGAATTTAATATAAATCGGTAAGATATGAAATCGTGAATTGTTAAGAATGGTTTGGATATGACAATTTTATTCAATACTAGCTGTGCCCGCGGCGTAGCTCGCGTATAGAGGTTTTACATAAAGAATTTGTCGTTTAGGTAAGAGAATATTAAACGATTTATTTCATTACTGTATCAATAAGTGGTAACTAAATAAATCATTATCATCAAAGTTCTAAGTCGTTTATGATAGAGCTTCTGTGTAAACGACGTTAGAAGTAGGCTTAGCCGGGGTGTACACAAAAAGGTTATGGGGGCTACTAACGCGGGAAAAAGCAACATAGAGTTGGCCATGTGCAAAACAGTCAGTACTGAGGTACACTCCTACAACGCGTAAAGTTTGACCTTGCGCTTTATTTACGGTCATCGCATAACACACGCTCACTGTAACTGGGAACTGAACGCGCTTAAAACTGAAAGGAAAGTTACTTCTTAATAGAGTGTTTTTGGGCAGTGCTGCCAGATAAAAAAAAAACTCATTCAGCTCTAGGACAACACAAAAAGCGCTAGATTTCATGAAAACAGCGCTTTAAAAAAGCCCTAGATTTCGCGCTAAATTAACTACAAACAAAGTTTGTGTTTTTTTATATAATCATAATAAAGAAAACAACATTAAGTTTTTTTTCTGGCAATATTTTTTTGATGTATCAATACTTCGCAGGACATCGACTTATAATTATAGCAATTGCTGTCAACAGTAGTTAGTATTGTACGAACAATAAAAATGTCATTAATTGTTTTAAAGTGCAATGTATTTCGCAACTTAGTTTCAGATGTCAGCATCTGATTGCGGTTGCTACACAGTTTCTTTGTGTTATAACTACTAAGTAACTTTTAACTTAGCTGTGCTCTAAGCAACTGACTGAAACTGAATAAAGCAAAATAAATGCGTTGCCAAAACCATGAACGAAAACGTTAATAAAGGGGATTTCCCCACTTATAGTCGTCGGTAAAAAAATCAAGTTGATCATCCTAAAGGGGAAGCCAGGAGATCCATAGCACAGGGTATCCTAGTTTGGACTCGTCTCGCATGCTCTTTGTTTTGTGGAAAAAATATGTTTGAAAAAGATAAACTGCAATGTATTATTTGTGGGAAAAAATAATAAAGGTCATTATTATTATTATCGGTAATGTGGACTAACATCTAACAGTGCTGCTATAAAAGAGTTAATAACCCGCTAGTCGCTAAAATATTGAAATGTGTGCTAAATACACCAAAAAGCGCTGGATTAAGCGCTAGGTGCTTAAATTTCGAAATGCACGCTATACATTCCAAAAAAGTGCTAAATCTAGTTCCCAAAGCGCTAAAATGGTAATTCTGACTTTGCGTATACGATAAATACAATATCAGGACATTTCGTTGCAAAATTTTTATTTTTGGTCGGGTTCCGTCGTATGGCTTTGATGGATACTAATTTCTTCAGTAAGTTTCAATACGATTCATCGGTGAAAAATCCCAACACCGCAATTCAGAAAAGTTTGTAATTTGTACAACTCCATCTATTACGTCCTTTGTGTGAGAAAATAAATGCGTTGTTGTTGTGCGTGTTCGTCTCTTTTTGTGTTTTAAGTATAAATATATTAATTATTATGGAACGTTTTTTTTACACAGAAATCTTTTTATTACTATTTCTGAGATTTTATGGCACCATTGAACAAATTCGAACCTACATTTCAAAATAATAATCATTACTTTCGATAGAATTAACCAATTTTAATAAAACAAAGATTAAATGTAACTCGAAGATACGCTTTATGATAATCTTAACGATTTCTTTGAAAATAAAAGATGTTTACTTTAGACGTGATGCGTTCACAATTCTAAAAATTATAAAATGTTCTTATTTAATTATTTTCAGTTCCCCATAATGATTTTAGCCACCAAAATATATATACAATGTACAGAAAGAGACACAACATGTTATCATCATTTTTATTATATGTTTATATTTAAAGAGAGATGGCGCTGCTAACATCATCAATTCTAAAAATAAAAGAGATTAATTGACGTGATTGATACATTATATAAAACGTAAGAGAACTTATAAATCAGTGCCTGCACAGTAAGCAAAAAATAAAGTTTGACTCTCGCCAAAACCAATGCAATTGTTAATAGCTCTTTTAAAATTTGATTTACCACATAGAGTACTCGGCGGTAAAGAATAAATTGAGTTTGTCAACAGGCAGTAGGGCAGCGAGTAATATAATAAAGATTAGCAGTAAATATGAAAACTCATCTACAGGAAAAAACCACATTTGCATTACATTTTCACAACACCACCATCTATCGAAGAAATGGGTTAACTATTATGCTTCAGATTTAGTTAATAAGGTTAATATATTTTTGTATAATAATAATATATTTAATACGTTCTTTATTACTTTTGTTTACTGCGTTTTAGATATACATAATTATATCATTATTTTACATAATTTAACTATGATTTATGATATGATATTAGTTTAAAATGCACTTGATGACTCAAACAAAGCCACCGTTGAGCAAATTCGTACCTATACTTCCCTACCCATACTTCAGAATATTTATCATAACTTTTGATGGAATGAACTGATTTTAATGAAATAAAGACTAAATGTAACCCGAAGATACACTTTATAATTTCCTTAACAATTCTTATGATATAAATTAGTACTTTATACGTGATACGTTAACAAACAAACAGACAGACAGACAGACAGACAGACAGACAGAAAATTCTAAAAATGGTAGAAATGTATTTAATTACTTATTTTTAGTACCCCTTAATCACTTTTATTACAAAAATATAAAATGTACAGACATCTGCTATTTACAGTTTTATTATATGTATAGATAATTAAATTCATCTTTTTGTAATTTTTTAACAGTTAAAAGTTATATTAACCATTTTTAAAGCACCGCACACAGAATAGACCGAGCAAATACGACTTTATACTGAACTAGCTGTTCTCCGCGGTATCATCCGGTATATTACGCGTATAAGCCGTGCGACATGACACCTAGCTTATTGAGGCCTGGTTTCTCTCGGTTCTCATCGGGTGGTTAGGCGTCGTTCGCGCGCTGAGCTGAGTGTTGAATTATTTTAATTTTTCATTATCTGTTAAACAATGCGTCCATTAACATGCTATGAATGTCAAAGTTTATCTTCATAAAATTGTCTTAATGATGAAGTAATTTTCGTTCGTAAGGATTAATATGCAATGCCTAATAATAATGCTTATAAATAACTTTATAATATTCAATTTTGTTTCACAAAATACCTTATTGTGACTTATGTTTAAGAAATAGGCCTATAGTATCGCGGACTTTATTTTAGATGGAGGAAAGATCTATATTTTTATAGAGCATAGTATTAACGAATCACCAACCATTACGCCAGCGCACGTGGATAAAGCAGTTCGGGAGCGCTTTTTCTTCAGACTTGTTTAACAAAAATTAAAATTTAAGCTAGCTGAGAGATGTAGCCTAATGCTAGATAGCCAATAATATTCGCCGTGAATATGACTATCATATACAAAAATAATAATTATATCAAATCGGACTGGTAGTTCCAGAGATTAGCGTGTTTAAGCAAACAAAAAACCTCTTCCGCTTTATTATATTAGAATAGATTCTATCTTATTCTCTCGCAGGCTAAATCATATAGTTGTATGTTTGCTTTTTTTAGTGTCGGTTTTTCGTTTGGTCGCATTTGAAATTACAGCGATACCAAGGAAGTTTCACTTCAAAAACACATTACATATATTCTGGCTTGGATTTAAAACGAGGACTCGTAAAGATGTTGACTGATCTTTCGGCACGTGGTTGTTAACTTTTTAATCATAGAATATTAATTTTTGTATGAATAAAATTTCAATAAGAAAAAAAAGCATCTTTGATTTATGTTATTATTTATGTTTAGTTAAGGTGAGTTATTTATGGATAAAGAGTATCTGGCTTTGTTTGGTAAGATTTTGTTGGTTTGACTTAGATTTTGACTTTCGTTGACTGTGATATTATTACATAATTGTTAAATAAATAAATGTCAAGTATAAATTAAAAAAAATTAACGAATCGCAATTATTTGATGATAATTATTTTCTTTATTGGATATGTTTTAGACAACGACGTCATGTCATCATTGAAATAAAACTAAAAAGAAGAAGTATTAAATATTTCCTTGTTGCAAGTTCAAAACGATAATGTAAGATAATTTTCAGATGAACGAATTGAAGAAAAACGCCTGAAACATTTACTTGATTTATTAAATTCAAGATCCAAGGCATTCTCTATGGCTGGAGGATTGCTGAATCAACTACCTTGGTGCAGATTTATATTTCCAGAGTTGAGTGGGTATGGTCTTATAAAGAGAATGAACGAACAAATATCTAACATAATTGAGGTAAGTAGATTTTATTATTATTGTAACATTATAAGCACTTGATATGGCACTAGTAATATTAAACCACTTTTATAAAGTATACTATGTTCTTAATCATATTTTAAATTATATTAAAAACACACATTTTATTAAAAGTTTAATTTTTCTGACATGGAATGAAATATTAGTGGTCTTTATGCTTAGTCACCCTCAAGAAATAATTTCGATTCTTTTTCTTTAAAGAACAAATGGTGATCATCATCAGGATTCAAAGAATTGCTAAATTGAACTTTACTATGAATAACATACCGTTTTCAAACATGAAACTAAGTAAATGTACATATACCTACTGGCTGGCACCCGGCGCGTTGCTGCCGCAGAAGAAATAATCGTGGAAATATCGTTTTAAATTTGGAAGAGTTGTATTTTTTAATTAGGAGTGATAATGAACTCAGTGAAGTTGAAAGATATATAATTTTCAACAAGGTTGACAATATTACAATTTTAAGTACCCACCTCCGCGAAATGCCTTTACCACATATGAATGTGCATATTCACACATCACAAAATTAAATATAAATGACATAAATCAAAATAACAGTTAAATTAAGTAAAAGGAGTCAAAACAAAATTATTAAATTACATATTTAAATCATTAGTAAATAGAAATTCATCGACATTATAATAACATTTATCTATAAGAAAATTACTCAGAGTAAATTAAAATTTTTGCGTTTTATAACATTTTATGTGATCAGGTAATTTATTTTATAGTTTAGGGGCCAATCCAATAACGATTTTTTCAAAAGGGCAGTTTTACATATATTTGTCTGCATTTTTGTTTCCGAGGAGGGAGATTAACAGAAGATGGTTGTATACTCATATCAAAAAGATCCGGATCGCACTTTACAAACATACATGATTTTAGTATACAAGTGGGATGGGGGAAAAGACGTGTGTAAGAACCTCCGAAGGAGGCAGAGTTATAGCTGAAATAAGAATTTTGAATTTTTTGATTTTTGGCCATTTTTACCCCCTAGGAGTGTAATGAGAACTTTTGCCCGTATTCAACAATGGTCCCCATGACATCCTCTACATGATAGGCTATTCAACGTGACTAGGACTAAAGTTCGAGTCACCCCCAAATCATTTCTAGTCTACTTTCAACAAATAAATTTGTTGTCACGATACGCGCGCCGCCTATTGTAAGTTAATTTTAGATACTATGCCTATACCTTCGCGCAAGTGCAAGTAATAAGTTGACAAAGGACAATGTCCAAAACCGCCCTGTGTAATAAAAGCATCGGACATACACGATAATCAATTTTCTATTTTATTATATTAGTTGCAAATACTTTTATAACACGGACTAGCTGCATGCAAAAATGAACATTAAAAAGTATTATATTCGACTAATAACATTAATCGCCGCCATCTTCGCCAAACATCATACCGCAATCTGAATAACGGTGTGACAGCGCATAAAATACGAACAAACAAAAAATATTTTATATATTTATATTAGATTGGATTTAAATCATGTATTTTAGAAAATATCTCCTTTTAACAGATAAAATTAAATTGACTTTCAGGAGGCAATAAGCAAGCATAAAAATAAGTCCGTTAAAGGAAACGACTTCATATACTCATTTATTGAAGAGATGGAAAATAACAAAGAAAGCTTTACTGGTAAGAAATGTATTTTTATCAATACTAATCCTGTCTTCTACACACCCTACAATTTTTTTTAAAGTTTTTTGAAAATAATATACATACATATCTCCTATATACACACAACATGCTGTTGTTGATGTTGGGCATGCTAGTTGGAAAGCAATAATTTATAATTCTACTTTCGGCTAGTAAAACCATAGCGCAACACGGGCCACCGGCGGATCGAAGGGAGCGACCATATGTAGGCGTTACCATTTGTTAAAGCATAAGTCCACGCGGTCCTATGCGTTTTTTAATTCATATAAATCCATTGCTAGTTTTCGACCTTTACCAGAATTCGCCTGATAACGCATGTATCTAGAAATATTAATATACTCACACGCATCACAAGCCGTTGATGAGTACGAAGTAGAGCTAGACATGCAACATGTCTAGCTCTACTTCTAATGTTTATTCATCATCTATGATCCCGAGGGGTAGGCAGATTGCTAAGAGCCACTTGGGCATAGTTTAGTAGAAAAAAGGGTATAGATGGATGGATGGATATATATTATGAAAAAAATTATGTCTAGCCTATCACTTACGGTGAAAGCGCCAGGGTAGCCGGCGAAATTCAAATTTTCTTACGTTTTTTGCTATTCGCAGGTCAGGGTCACGTTGTATGTTTAACAAAATATGATTCGCGACCGTAACGAGTATATGGTTACAGAATTATTATCATTAAAATAGCCAATACAACCCTCTAAGTTCATATAATCCCTCTGAATGAGTTTTTCTGGAAATAGCCATATAATAGGATTATACAAACTTAGAGGGTTGTATTGATGATTATAATGATTATAATTCTGTAAGTACATACTCGCTACGGTCGCGAATCATATTTTGTTAAATATACGACCTGACACTGGCCTTCAAATTGCAAAAAAACGTAAGAAAATTTGAATTTCGCGGGCCACCCTGGCACTTTCACCTTAAACAAACACAAGCTAAATATCTAATTAGTCGCTTTTTAAGACAGAATGTGCAAGTAAAGCAGTTGGAACATTATTTTTCTTATACATAAGTCCCCCTTAAACATGGGACCTATAAGTCCAGGAATAACATGGGACAATGCTTATGTTGTAAATATACGTAGAAAATGTAAAAAAATTAAGCTGTTTTATATTTCATACATCTTATCCATTGTCCATGTCAAAAGAAGTAGCAACACTAATAACACTTGCTTACCAGTATGGCTAAAATTAGGTACGTTCATTACGTTCATTAAGGTTGTAAAATACTTACTATTGCAATAAATTATAAATATCAAGTTCTCTTTCAATTCTATACTATTTATTACAGAAAACATCGTAGCAATAACAGTAGTTATAATCATTATTAATGCTAGTAGTTAGTAAAGTGAGATATGCGTTTAATGTTTGGTGTGACATCAGGAGAAACATCGTTGTACAAGCATTGGTGATGTACGTGTTTGAGGGACACTTGAATGGTTATTAGAAAATAAATAGATATATTAAACTTTCCACAAAATAAATTTAACTATCTGCCAGAGGTGGAGCGTAATAATGTTATATTTCAACAAGACGGTACACGGTACTCCCGCCCATAATGGGAGAATATGCACTGCTTATCTCAATATCAATTTCAACATCTGGATAGGTACAAACAAAATAATTAAATGGCCAACAAGATCTCCAGATCGAGTTACTCTGATTGTGGAGTTTTAAGAAAATGATAAAAGGTCTCTTGACTTTTAAAAAGTAAACAGTCTAGATTAGGACGTTAGTTCGGGTTGATATGTACGAATTGTTATATTTCATAGTCTTCTTAAACTGTAAGATATAATATTTATTCGATTGATTTTATCCTTATCATAGACCCTGTAGATTGGTTCAATAAAATAGCGACTCGTCTATTTTTATCTAACTTTTTTAGTTGGTGCAATTCCCAGCTCAGGTAGGTTTTATAAAAAATGTTTGAATGTGGTTATTCTTATTTTGAAAAACAAAGGAATTTTTCTTTTGAGGGAAATATGATATCTAGTTAATAGAACCAAGCGTTACTTTGCGGAAATACATTAGGTATATTAAAGTTGGCAAAAATTATCTCGCGTACATCCGCTCGATAAAATAAAATGATGTGTCTTACCTAGTTTGAAGAACCTCCCGTCCTCCTTCAATTTGCGTGCGCTATCCCCGTCATCACTAATCCCAGCACCACTACTCCCAGCACCATACTCCCAACACCACTACACTAGGAAAAACACACCACCACGACTCATGTTTCGCCTATACACGAGGCATCTTCAGGTGATGTAGACTATGCGGTGTCTTACCTCTAAGTGAGCGGCGAGCCAAAACAACTGCTATTTATACAGCCCGCTGACACAACCGTTTGCTACTTTAGTGGGGAGCGATTGTGTTGCAAGCAGTTGTTGCAAGCAGTTGTTTTGGATCGCCGCTCACTTTATATAGGATTTTGAAAAATTTAAACCCTCAGAGGGTGAAATAAGATGTTACACGTTGTACGACACTTTATTTTAAGGGCTGATTTCATATTTGTATGGTGGAAAATTATAAACATGATTTTTGTAACTTGAAAATTGGTAAATTACTTTTGAAGTAAAATAATGAAATACACATTTTTAATTTAACCATAAAGCATTGATATTAGGGTATAATGTTAGTTATACCCTCATATTAATCTTAGTTCAATGACCAAATATTAAATGAAAATAAAAACTTAAATACTAATCATGTATTTCCTACTTTGTTCTTATAGTAATATTCATTATAAATCAGGCATAATATCTATACATACATATAATAAATCTGTACAAAACTCTTGTCTGTAATTCTAATATATTTTTGAAAAAACAAGTCCAGGGGACTAAATAAAGGGTTCTGAAGGAGTGGTATTTAGAATTTTTATATATCTGTTTGTCTGTCTGTTTATGTATTACGGGTTCACACAAAAACTACTGGACCAATTTACATAAAATTTTGTACGTAGGTAGTTTATAACCCGGGGCAACTTATAGGCTACTTTTTATCCGATTACAGAACTTATAAAAAGAAGATTATGTATTTTCCTTCCTTTAGATGTTAATTTTCTATTATATCTTAGTTATAAGCGGGATTACTCGTGTATTTTATAAATAATATTTAAAATATTTATAATTATAGTATTTATATTTATTAAAAGTTATTACTTTGGTAAAATAATTTGAAACTACACCGATTAAATATCAAAACAGCGCCATCTATCATCAAATGGAAGTAGTATATTTTGCCTTTGGTTACTAATAAATTAAATAATATAAATATTAAAATAAACTTAAATTTATATGTTTAAACAATTAGGTTTATAAAATTATTTAAAAATTCTAAAGATTCGTTTTTTATTTAATTTTGTTATTTCATTTTAAAAGTGTAATGATTTTAATAGATAATAGCATAATAGTGACGTCTATCAAAGATATGAAAATTGATAAGATTTTTATTTTAATTACTAATCTATATGTAAACCGATTAAAACTGGTCTGTCAGCAATTATTGCAAAATTTTCATTATCATCATAGTTTTATTAAAGATATTTTTATATATACCGTGGCCAGATTGTAGAATTGATCATGTATCATAAAGTAGTCTATCATTTCGTAAAATGCTGTGGTCATTTCATGATATTTAACACTGTTTGTTGAACATGTCATGATATAGCTTGACCAAATCAATGAATAGAAATCGTTTAAAGATGACGATATCATTAAAGTTTTTCACCGCTAGCCGCGCGGCGCTGATAGCGTATTGTTTAACAGAAACAGAACTATTAACAGAATTGATATCACTTTATGCCTTATTCATATATATATATATATATATATATATATATATATATGCCTTATTGATATATAATAAATGTTCACTTCTATCGCTGATATTACTAGATGGTGCTGTTTTGACCTTCATTATTACAGCTAATAATAGCGCCATCTACTTCTAAATAAACTAAAATGGTAAGAAACTGATAAAATTAAATAATAGAATGCTACTGAATATTTTCATTTTTTTTTCATTTTCATTTTTCATGTGTATTTATTAGGTAAATCATCAATTAGGTAAATATGGTCAAAAATCATGCAAAAGCTTAGTTTCAGTTTTTATGAATTGTATTTAAACAAAATAAATACGAGGGCCGTGTAGCTCGTTTCATCATGGCACGGAACAAAACGTGTACAATTCCCTCGAGGATGAATCTGTTATAGAAAATTTTACGTGCTGACATAACACGTGTAAATAACTTTGTGGGGAAATCTACATGACTGAGTAATTAAAATAGACATCAATCAGTTTGTAATTGAAGATAAAATATGATTTTCAGATACATTAAAATATTTGTGATATACATGGTTTCACAGCTCGTGAGTATATGTAAATGAACAGGCCCTTGAGGAAAAATACTTTAATTAAAGAAAGCAGATTTTACTTAAACAAAGGTTCATATTATTTTACTTGTCAAAGAACGGTAATAAAACTGATTAAAACTTAAATTTCATGGTACATAAGCATTATTATATATTGGAATTGCAATTTAAGTTTCGATTTAACACGTTCTCGGCGGTGAAGGAAAACCTGCATATCTGAGAAGTTTCCCAGTTGAGGTCATCCCAAGTTAGCGCAGCGAACACTTTTTTGGCCAAAAATCTCAACGGCATTTGCCCAGTAGTAACATGTAAGCTGCTACTTTTTTACTTTTTATGTGGCTAATATAATATATAGTTTTTATTTTATTCATATTTTCGGGTATGATACTTTTTGTTTTCAATCTACTGTAAATATTAAGGGTTACAAAGATGAGTAGAACTCATTATCGTCAGCCTATCAAAAGTCCTTTGAAATGAACGACGGGACGATTTGAGATGGCGGATTCTCTTTCACCGCCACAGCAAGGCGAACATTTTCTACTCTCGTTCATGAGTGTAGTGCTCCCCACATTCACTGTGAATAAAATTTATA